CTTAATCTTAACTAATTTATGCAGTAATTAATCTTAGCTTCTGCACAAATAATAATACCACATCTAAATGAAAATAGGCTACACCATTATAACTTCTGTATTCAAAATCTTCAAAGTTTGTAAGCATTAACTGTAACGTTAAACATTTTTAAAAGTAAAAGCTCAACATATTTCTTAATATTAGCGACTGCATGTGGCATTTTACAGCTAAAATGTTGAAGTTATACTGTAATCATTAAAAATGTAGCAAACTGAATATCACTTCCTAACATCACCCAGTCATTATTGATCAATTCTGTTTGGGAGTAGTAGATAAAAGACTGAGAATTCTCTGTCTTTTGGCACAACGGGCCAATACCGGCACGGTACAGTTTTCTCCTCATCTGGACCAGAACTGGGCCAGCTCCGGATTCCTTCATGGTGATTTGGCTCAAATTTGGGCCAGATCTGGTCCTGCTCTGTTTTGGATCTGGTCCAGCTCATTTTGTAGACCGTACACACACACACACTCGCTCTCTCTCTCTAAGAAGTACACATAGGTTTTAACATGAAATACTTAGGCAATAAAAAGTTGAACGTACTGCTTTATAAGTTTACACTAAAATGTACACTTTACACTAAAACACCACCTGTGTTAGCACTAATTCATAGCCACTACTTCACAATAATCATGCATTCACTGACTTCCCACAATTCTCCGAAATATTTTTTTTACGTTTAGCGTGCTACGGTGGGCGTGGCTTTGGAGCGCACGTGCGTGTCAATCAAACAACGGAAGGAGACCGTTGGCAAACTCACCCAGTGAGATCCACGGGGAGGAGTCGGATCACGATCCAAGGGGTGGAGACGAGACGCTGTCAGGTAAGTCGAGTGACTTTTGTCGGTTATATAAATTAAATACTTTTATTATCACAATGATGATGAGTTTAGATTTGCAGCAGGTGCTATCATGTTGATAAATTTATAGCTAGCTTATCGATTGCATTAACTAGCACTACTGCTGCCATGGTAGAACAGTTAAGCCTACACACAGGTGTAAAACAGGAATAAAGGGAAAAATACATTGACATAAATCTTTACAATGACTGTTTCTCAGTATCCTTTAGTTCACTATTTCAATATTGCAAAACAGCCCATTCTCACCCCCAAGGCGTCACTTAACTGACGCCTTGGGAAGCATTTGGACATGCTTTAATATCTGACGCTTTAGGCGCCCTTTTAGATGACCTCCTAGGATCGCGTGTACCCTACCCCCACCCCACACCTAAACCTAACCGCGTCCTCTAACTGACGCTTTCCTTTAGCGTCAGTTAGATGACGCCGTAGGATCGCGTCATGTAAGTGACGCTAAAGGGCGCCTAAAACGTCAAATATTGAAGCATGGTCAAAGGTGACGCCTTGGGGTGAGAATGCGTTGTGCAAAACGGATTTGTTTGTCAGTGAAATCATTTTGTGGGTGTGTCATGTCAGTTGTCCACAGTTCTTGTTAGTATTCAGTGTTTGAATGAGTCATGTGTCCCGCCAGAAGTGTTCATTTAACAAATGGTTTAACAAAATAAATGTAATAGATCAAACTTTACCACTATTTGGAAAGCTATTCACTCTGTCTTTTACGGCCATGACAAGAACGTCAGTCTCCTCGGCTGAGAACGCTCCTGGCGCGCTCTTATTTTCATATTTTTATTATCATAATAATAACAAAAATCCGCCATATTCCGTTTCGACATCCTGCTGCAAGATAGGTGATTGATGAACGACTCCATTGCGTATGTCACGCGACAAATGAACGTAAGACTCGGAAGGTAAAGTAATCATTTATGTTCCCTGTAAATCATTTTTTACTGTGTTATGATTTCTTGATTCAGAATATGATCAAAATTGCATAGGTGGATGTGATCGGGGAATTTGGCTGTTAAAATTATAACATTTAAAGCCACTTGTGACATGCACCTAGTGGGTGCTTTCTTCCGTTACCTTGTGGGTAACTGTAGCCTTCTGCCAGGAGCAGATGTCGTCAGGTGGTACACAACCTTCACTGGGTGTTTCGGCCCTCAACCACAACACCATCCGGTTGGTGGGCCGGCAGTGATGGCCAAGTCACTGCCCATCTGCTCCTGGCTTCCAGCTTTCCTCCTCCCTCCTGTTCCATATCCAGCAGGAGGCACGTTCTGCCTCCTCCCCCATCCGACGCACTGCTTGTTTTTTCCTTCTTTCGTCCATGCCCAGAGCTGATAGTAACCGCCAGGTTGATTTAGCAGGGAAACCTCTGCAGCCAACCTCCACTGGGAACAACCAGGCCTGCCATCCCTTGTCCTTGCAGTCCTGAAGAAGGGACTGATACTTCAAGGCCTTCCTCTCATGGGCAACCTCACATCTCTCCTCCCAAGGCACCGTCGGCTCAACTAGAATTATTTTCTTGCCCTCTGTTGACCACAAGACAATGTCTGGACGGAGGGCTGTGAGCACCACCCCTGGGAATTGCAGCCTTTTCCCCACGTCCACCCTCATCTCCCAGGACCTGGCGTTTTGAAGGAGATTGGGTTTTGATGGTTTGGTTAAAACAGGCCTTTCTCCCTCCTTGATGAAGGTGATCGCCCTCTTCAAGCCCATACCGGCAGGCCTTTTCCTGCATCTCTCCTGCTCCAGTATGTCAGCAAGGGACAGTAACACTTTGTCATGACGCCACCTATACCGACCCTGAGTGAGAGCTGTTTTGCATCCTGATAGTATGTGCCAATGTTCCCTTTTGCCCACATAACTTGCAGTTAGGATCTTCCCTCAGCCCCCATACATGTAAGTGTGCTGGCGAATGGAGGGTGTCATAAGCCATGTTTCCATCCACTTGTCAATCGAATTATCTGAAATTCGGTTAAAAAACTCATGCGGATAAAGCTGGTGAAAGTGTGTTTCCATCCAACGGCTTTAAAGCGAGTAAAAACCTGTACGTAATGACGTCACATGCTGTTTTGCGATCAAATTGGTATATCGAATTGATTTGAGACATTTTAAGGTGTTTCCATTTATTTTCGCACTAAATCGAACAACATTCAAGCGAACTTTTGCGAACAAAGTTTTGTTAGACAAAACGGATCGCGCCATCTACCAAAAAATTATCAATATTTCAGAAGTTGAAGGCTAATAATGCTTATGTGCCAGCTGATAGCGACATATGAATGGGATAATGTATGCGAGGCGGTTGTTGTATTCGCTATAACAACCGCCTCGCTATATATTATCCTGCTTATTACATATAAATCAACCAAATAAATAAATAAATCAATAATTTGACACAAAATATTGACTTAAAGTCCCCGTGAAATCAAAATTGAACCCATTTACTTTGTTAGCGCATATTACTAGTCTTGTGGTGAACAATTAATCCGTGCAAGTATATATATATTAAAAAAATGTTTTACCTTGGTAATCTTTAATCAAAATCTGAAAAGTTACTTCCGGTCTGGAACGGTTTCTTTTTCTGATGACGTAGGTTTCACAGTTTGGGTGGGGAAACGCTCAACCACTCCCCTCAAACCGTTAGTTTGCTATGAGCGAGAGATGGAGAGGAGGAGCGCTAGAGTAAAACCCTGCCCTCTGTTCAATATTCCGTTTCACTTGGAAATACGTCACAGCACTGGAGAAAAATCGTTTGCAACTTCCGGTTCACGGGGACTTTAAAAACGAGTTTATTGATTTAAAAACGAGTATTGCTTCTGCTAAAGAAAATAGTCTGTTCCCGTCTCTGAACTGCGTCCATGGCAACGGTGTGTTATAGCAGCACCGCAGTCTGTTAACTAGAAATAACAAACCACATTATACATTAGAATTCAACCAAGCCACGTAAAAACAAGCAAAACTAACCTAAGAAAACAACGACGCTATAAACATTGCTATGATGATGACGATGCACGTATGCCCGACGACAGCGGAGGTGACTGTGGTGTGGGAACGAGCGCTCCATCAGTTCTGGGAGATCGTGGTTCACGGAAACCCTTTGGTTGAAGCATCTTTTTGCTTTGTCCACTTACATCTGTCTTTGTTGACATCCGCCATGTGTGCGCAAACAGACTGGCCGGAAATGAACTCGTCTTCTGACGTGTTGCAACCATAAAAGGGCATAAAACTTAATCGCAATTCATTATTTATTCGGCAAATAACGTTTCCATCAGCTTTTATCGCATTAGCCGTATATCGATCAAGAGAAAATTCGATGAGACCGAACGTATTTCATCTGAGTCGATTTTCATGAAATTTCATCGAATTTTACTGTTTCCATAAGGCTTTTTTCATTCGATATCACTTAATTCGGATAAAAACGTGTCGATGGAAACATGGCTATAGACAGATCGCAGTAGGAAGGAAATTCGGTAGGGCTCCAGCCGCCACAACTCTTGCCAGGAGATCTTGCGCTTGGGAAGGTCCCATTTTGTCCATGCGCCCTGGGATCCTTGTTCCACTGCCTTATTGCCATCCGCCTTTCCTCCTCAGCCTGAACCATCTCCAAATAAACTCACCTCACTAACATGCACACACAAACATAGTCGAGCACAAATAAACACATATTTACAATGTATAATGTGAAAAAGGTATGTCTCAAAGGGAATAATATAATTTTTAATAAGAGGAACCTCCAAAATTTCTGCTTAAACTCAACTTAGAACTTAGTCCCAATTTAACTCAAATTAATGACCCCATTATATCTATTGGGCCAGTAACTAAAAATCAGAATTAGAGGCCATCAAGACATGGGTTATGAATCATTATTTCTAAATGTCCATTTTTTTTTTATTGATTTATCAACCCTATTATTATTGAGAAGTAAGATTTGATATGTCAGGCCACCCACTTTGCTTTTTTCTGGGGTGGTCTCAACATGAGGACCTTTATTACATCATTGTTTACTGGTTAGCAGACAGGAGCATATAGAGCAGTAGCAGATAAAGACTGTTTGCTGATCGCTGCAGGTGAAAGTCCAGTGATTTGTGTAAGAGTTGAACTGTGTTCTCATCTGCCCTGTTTTTGACGTCTCTCTAGCACAAGGGTGCGAGGAATCTGGAGATGAGGATGCAGTCTTCCCTCCTGGTCTTGTTGGTGTGTGTGTTCTGGCAGCATGGCGGCACCTCTTTAGCGCCAGCCGAATGCCACGACACCGCCGTGGTGAAGGCAGCGGAGGAGACCTTAGAGCAGATCAATGCAGACAGACAGGAAGGGTATATCCTGACACTCAACAGACTTTATGATGTCAGACAAGACATCAAGGTGAGTGCGTTGATACTAGCATCATTTTCATCTATATGGATGCGTTTGAATAGGTTCTTATATGAAAATAGGCCAAAGGATCATTGGCGAACAAGGATCTTGGAGAAAAAAAAAGATATCGCGAAGTTGCCATCAAGCAAAAAAGTGAATAAAGTTGAAATGGTCCACTTCTATAAGTAACTTTGCCACTACATTCAAATATTTTCACATTTATTTGTATAGTGCTTTTCACAATACATATCGCATCAAACATTACATGTCAACTCTCATTTAGAGAATTAGTCGACTGTTTTTGGGTTCGTGGATTAAGTTGACGTAGTTGCAAAGATTGGGAGCGTCAAAATAAAGTCACCAAAATGAATATAACATAGAAATATTTAGATCCACCTTACACCTTGATTATCAAGTAATTGATTGTTGATGAATTATTCCCTGAAATAGTGCTTCATTATTGATTTTATAACCTCATTTTAATGGTCCTCTTATGTTATATTAAAATGTCATGTTATGCAAAAAGAAGGATTGTGGACTACAGTAAGGTTTTTTGATGCCCGAAGTGGAGGGACTTGCAAGCTATAGCAGCATAATTGACTTTAAAACAAGGTTAAATGTTCAAATTATAGTCCGTGTAAAGCAATTGCAGAAGATTCCAACACAATACTAACCAATGCATCCCCAAAACAGTAGTCTAAATAAAGCGATATCTGTCAGAGCCAGAGTCCAAGTCCATTTCAAGTTGACTCAGTCAGTGAGGGGAAGAATTGTCAGCTGACGGTGAGAAGGGTATTGTGCCATGTTTAGTTTCTTTCTTTTTTAAAAAAAAGTTATGGAATGAATGGAAGATACACACAATCACACGTTGTGAATATATGAGTGTGCTCTTTTTTTTATTTTTTTATTTTTTTTATTTTACAAATTCTAATTTATTTTTCAAAATAAGTTTTATCACAAATATTATGACATTTTTGCTGTCTGAATGAACCTTTCTTCATCCAATTAAATAAGTCAATAAATGTTCTGATATTTTTAAAAATACAAACAAAAAAATATTTACCAAAAATATTAATTTTTGGAACTGAAATCTGAAAAGACACACTATATGAATTAATCTAGCCTTGTCCAAAAAAATACTTAAAATAAAAATACATTATCAGATATTTTAAAATATGAAAATATGTGTACACTTATAGTTTTCACTTTTTAAAAAAAACTTTTGCTGATAATTTACTCACCCCCATGTCATCCAAGATGTCCTCGTCTTTCTTTCTTCAGTCGAAAAGAAATTAAGGTTTTTGATGAAAACATTCCAGGATTTTCTCCATATAATGGACTTCAATGGGAACCAAACGGTTCAAGGTCCAAAAGACAGTTTCAGTGCAAACTGTTCAAAGGGCTTTAAACGACACCAGACGATGAATAAGGGTCTTATCAAGGACCCTCTTTGAGTCATGACTCGAAAAAACATTAGTTCATTTTGATGAACGAGTTCGAACAGGAGAGTCACAAACGCGCATCACAGAACAGAGCAAGACGAGCATTTGAGCTTATAAAACGTAAACTTTGTTATTTATTTTATTAAATGAGCGATCGTTTTGCTTGATAAGACCCTTATTCATCGCCTGGAATCGTTTAAAGCCCTTTGAACAGTTTGCACTGAAACTGTCTTTTGGACCTTGAACCGTTTGGTTCCCATTGAAGTCCATTATATGGAGAAAAATCCTGGAATGTTTTAATCAAAAACCTTAATTTCTTTTCGACTGAAGAAAGAAAGACATGGACATTTTGGATGACATGGGGGTGAGTAAATCAACAGCAAGTTTTTTTAAAAGTGAACTACTCCTTTAAGTTTAAAAAGACAAGAAGAAAGATAAACAAACAAACAAACAAACATGACTATAAATGTTGTTTAAAAGCAGAGGCTCTGTTCTTTCATTTGATTTATTGTATGTTCAGATAATAAAAAAAAAACCCAGCTGGCAGTTTTTGAAACGTTATTTCATGCTGGTTTGATTTGTTTGTTTGCTTGTAACAAAGGCAGAGGGTGTGAGGCATTTACACCTGACGATCGATGTTCTGGAAACACAATGTCATGTGATCAGCAGAAAAACATGGAAATCCTGTGCCATTAAGGGGATTGGTAGTCTACCGGTAAGTATTTAACTCTAGAACCATCAGTTACTTAAGTATGTGCTATATTTTACTTGGGTATATATTTGTATATCCTGTTTGACCAAAGAGTTAACTGTTATCTAAACTATATTAGGTGTTCGGAACATGTGATGCATCTGTTTCCCTTCAGAGCACCGTCAAAGTTCAGAATTACAACTGCACCATCCAACAAGGTCTGCTGTGACTGCATTGAACCACGCTTACTTAAATTTTCTGTCCATTACCACAAAAAATAATTACGTCACATCTTAGAAATGAATTGCAGAGAGTTTCAGAACTTGCCGCAACTGCTGCTTATAATTTTGTCAAAGAGTTTATATTAGGCTTGTCAAGCGATTAATCGCATCCAAAATAAAAGTTTGTGTTGTTTACATAATACGTGGGTGCACTGTGTATAATTATTTTATATATAAATACACATGTGCTTTTATATGTTTAAGAAATATTTTCATGTCAATACTGTATATAGATTTATATATAATTTATATTATATATAAATATTTTATATATAATTTTTTTTTCTTAAATATACATGCATGTGGGTGTATTTATTTATTTATATATATATATATATATATATATATATATATATATATATATACAAAATAATTATACGCAGTATATTATGTAAACACAAACTTTTATTTTGGAGGCGATTAATCGTTTGACAGCCCTAGTTTGTATTATTGTGCCATTTTGCTTTTTAAAATGACCTAAAAATGACATTTTTTCCTAGACTGCTTTCCCATGAGGCCATGGTAAAGTTGTCGTCATATTAGTAAATTTGAGGGGTTGAGCTGAAATTATTTCCGTGGTAATCGACAACTTGCCTCTCAAAGTTGTAGTGGAACATTTATAATGGTACACATTTTGTTAATCTAAAGAATACTTTATTCTGATTGGTCAATCTCGGCATTATGTTATACAAATATTTTTAGATAATGACCACTAAATTGTGTGTTTCTGTCACAGTCTCCGTCTGCACCTCTGTTTTTTCAAAAGATTTGAAGTAACGTGTTTGAACGTGCATACTATGTAAGAACGAGACAAATATTGATTCTGGTAATAAAGCAAAACAACTGAGAACAATTAGAAATAGTCCTCAGATGACATGTCTGTAATTTATATAAAACAAATTTAGCGTTAATTGGATCTCAAACAGTTTCATTAAAAGTAGTTATTACTCCACCATGTGCGAAACCAATGTGGTTGAACGATACTTTGCAACAGTGGGTTTCGGGAAACAGTCGTGACTAGCTCGTTGATTTTTCCAACGATGCATCATACTATGGTAGTGAAGCAGTGAACTACGTCGTTGTACGGGAAACGCACCCCAGAGCGGGCCTCGAACCCAGGTCTCCGGCATGAGAGTCAGGCGCTCTAACAAGGAGGCTAAAGACTGCAGCCTCTAGCGTCTGTCGCTAGAGCGCCTATTGAGATCAGGGGAGTGAGGTTTACTCGCACAGCAACTACTAGCTGGCCTCCGTTACATATGGTAGTGAAACAGCGAACTACGTCGTTGTACGGGAAATGCACCCCAGGTCGTCTTCAGCGATACATGTTAAAATGTTCATCGTCCAGGTCACTGAGGGTCCCTGTTCATCGTCCACCTCGACAATGAACAGGTGGAAAATTGAGTAGGTGGATAATTGAGTTCAGGTATGGAGACAAAGAGGATTCTGGGAAGTGTAGTGCAGACGACGACTGAGAGGGGCAGACGGAGACTGTGACAATTTCACTGATGATGCTACTACTGACTGTACTAAAAATGGCCCTGGAAGACTTTAGCATTTAATTGTAACGTGAATTTTGAAAAAACAACATCTATAATGACTTGTTTCCACCGAGTGGTGCGGTACCGTACAACCCTAATCCGGCCAAGCGGTACAGTACCATACAACCCTAATCCGGCTTGCGTTTCTGCCACCAGCAGTACCATACTCGATAAGCGTGGTGTAGCCTACTGTATGCTGGACAGAAGCGACCGACGTAATTTCCGCGCGAAGAACAAAACGACATAGTAGCAAGTGGCAGTTTGTCACAAGAAGCCAAGGACCGACATTAGGCGTTTCCCAATAGAGTGCCGGAGTTACGACGTCACTCTGTAGGCCAAAACGCGGAAGTGAGTTAGCATTTTAGCACTACCGGTTCCCTCGCTCTAAAGTCTATGGGATTTTTGAATGGGTTTTTGCTAAATCGCCTGAAATAAGGTCTGTGGTGAACAAAGCCTCTAAATATTCTCTAAATATTTTCACGTTTTGATCTAGAACACACAGTTATAACCTGCTTGTGGTTTTTTACACTTTATTGTGTCTGCTTGTGTTTTTGTTTAACTTTATATAGGCTTCAAAATGTATACATTTTGGATTAACTTGTAAAGATTATCTTGTAAGGGTCACAAATCTTTGTTAAACACAGATCTTGTTTTTGCGATTGAAAGAACGACCAGCCGAGGAAAGGTTGTTCCAGGCGGGGTACCGATAATCGCCTGGAATGGATCTCGCCACCTGGATTAAATTTTCATAGATCTTTATAAATAAACCACAAATCTGAGCTTAAAACAACTACATTCTCACCTGAAAAACTACAGATTATCTGTATATTAAAAAATGGCGCTTCTTATGCTGTGTTCACAGCGGACGCGAATAGCGCGTCAAATTCGCGCCTGACGTGTTTAGTTTGACGCTTGACCACTTTGTGTTAATTCGCGTAAAAACAAAAGTTTGAAACGAAATTTACACGTGTCAGAATCGAAATCCGTTGGCGGCCATTTTTTTATGTCGACCGAGCATTCATCGAGAGAGTAACCGCTCTATATTTACTCTGGAGAGCAGAACAGCGGCGTGGGGATCATCGTCGCCGTATATTTATGTCCACCAGACCCTTCGGAGGCGAACCGTTTGGCGAGTTTCACCATTTGCTCGCTCCAGGAGCTGCCCTGGATGACGGCCGCTGTCAGCGGTACTTCTCCTGTCCCGCGTACAGTTTGATGACCTGTTGTCCCGCAGCGGAGCGAGGATCACCCTCGCCCTCATCCATCTAATCTAATCTAATCGAATTCGCGTCAAATGCGTGAATGCACAAATAGCACTAACTAAATCATTCGCACGTAACGCGTCAGACGCTCAATTCGCCGAACTTGAGTCTTCCGCACCGCGCTCTACGCCTCATTCGCGCCAAAGGAATTTTTTATGTGCGTAACGCGTCTTTGGATTAACTTAACATTGAAATCATTCGCGCCTTACGCGCTATTCGTGTACGGTGTGAACGCACCATTATGTTGTCATGCCCCTTGTAGCACGTGCAAATGATGATTCTCTGTCAACCAATCAAAGTTCTGCAGTGAATATAATTCCACCATTTAGTTACCTTACCACCCCAGTGGAAGAGTACCGGAAAAGTGGTATGATTCAGCATTTTGGTACCATTCAATTTTTCGACAGTGGAAACGGAAATAATTGCGTACCATACTGTACTGCACCGTACCGTACCGCTCAGTGGAAACGAGCCATAAGTCTTCAGATTAAACTAGAAAATGAAAACTTTACACATTACACGACACAAAGAGCTGAATGAGAGAGAACTTTGAGGAGAGCATGTTATATGTTTTATCTAATTAGTCCACAGAAGAAATAACTTGGATTACAGATTTTACATAATAATGACTATTTGGCTTTATATAATGCCTTTATCCAGGGATATTATAATATAGAGTATGTTCTTCGTGAAATGTTGACTTGTCCTCGCTGTTTTACAGTGGCAGCTCGAACTATAATAAACACTTGCCCCGACTGTCCAACTGCAGAACGGTTAGATGATCCAGTTATATCTGAGACCACAAAGCTGGCCCTGCAGAAATTTAACAAAGAGCACACTTTCCCACATTTATATGCTCTTCTGAATATAACAGCAGCCAGCATGCAGGTATGTCAACACCAATAAATCAATAGATCGAGTGGCTCTGTCCTGTAGACATGGCAGGAGATGTGTATTGTGTGTTTTGCAGTGGGTTGTGGGTCCGGCTTACTTTGTGGAGTTCACTATTCAAGAGACTGACTGCAAGAAATACATTACCAACACTGATCTCACCCAATGCCTGCTGAAGGATTCAGAGTCAGCTGTAAGCACTCATTTCAGTTCAATAAATTACAAGCCAGTAATTCAAGATTAAACAAATTTTTAAACCAAATATTAAGAACTATATTTATACTTGCTTTATATTGCTTTTGCCATTAAAAGTGTAAGTGTAGTAACTTTTTTTCTGTTTGCTAAAGCACAAGGGGTTTTGCACTGGTGCACACACCACTGTTGACGATGGACTGGAGATCAAAGTTCCTGTAGAGGTCAAATGTGAAATCTTTCAACCAGTGGTGGGTAATTTGCATTGTTGGAGAGTGACTGAAAGTAACTAACTCAGCTACATTATTCAGTAGTGTAACCGTTCAGATTTTTTCACCCGTTCTATATCCGACCGCAGTGTAGCATGTCAAATGACCTATATTAAAATCGTCTATATTTCACCTAAAAATCACCCAAAGATGTTTTTCCTTTTGAAAAAGGAAGTTGTGTGGGACATATCTCTGAGAAAAAAAATGCAACTGTAAATCGCATGCTCAATTTAAAAATCTGGAAATGAAGAGCTTCCCACTGAAATGGTTTGTTGATGCTGAATCATATTCAGAGTTGACAGCCATGCTTTCCTGGGCTGATGCGTGCTCAGTCTCATTCTGAGCTTTGTGGGTGTTGTCTGGGACGCAGCGAGAAGCATAAATCGCATTGCCCCGCCCTGTGACTGACCGTGATCAAGTCGCAGCACAGGCTCTTGGCTAGACGATGTCCATTTTGGTGGTCCAAAAGTGTCCCCTGGCTAAACCTCGTAGGGGTGCGAGATGTCAACAAAGCTTCCATCTCAAAAAGTGGCCTTTTGGGGCTATGATTTTGAGGAGTGTGCCCAGCAGTTCTCGGCAGTTCAGAAGCATAATAATCAGTCAAGAGCCTGCTCTGAAGTGCTACTAGGCCTTTGTAAACTGCCCCTCAGTTTGCTCGTCGCCAAGGGCGTCCATTCCCTTGCGGTTCCTCTATCTCTGGGTCGCAAGAGGGTGCGGATGGCAGTGTGCTATGCTATGCCTTGCCACGCTCATACCACTCTTCTATCACCAGCCGGCAGCTTGGTACGGTTCTAGGACGCCGAACCGTGGAGTCGGGTAAGTGTTGCAGTGCGCCCTCAAACCCCACTCTGGGACGCTATGCCTTCTGGGTCAAGTCCCTGTGCTCCACCTCGCTGCCTTACAGCAGGTGTGTGGTCCCTCTGACCCGGCTTGTATGGTCTCTGGAGGCCTGGCTAGTGCTTCCCAGTCCAGGCCCTTGTTCCTGTAGAGAGAACACGGCATGAGCTTTCTAAACTGTCAACGACTGACTCATACTGGCCCAGTCGGTCGCGAGAGCAGTTGTGTGAACACAGGGACGTGCCTCGAGTTGCTTGCAGTACAACTTACGCTGGGCTGATTCAAAACGCTGTTACGAGGCAAGCACGTACTGGTCCAAATGGACAGCACTGCGGCCAAGGTGGTCAACGCTCTAGTCGCATGTGGCAACTCGCCCACCATCTCCTCCTATTGGAGTCAGAAGCATATAAGGTTGCTTCATGCCATTTATATTCCAGGCTTGCTCAATCGTGCAGCCGACAAGCTCTCACGACAGCAGGAGCTCGCGAATGAGTGGAGACTCGCGAATGAGTGGAGACTCTAGCCGCTCCCTTGCTCATTCCTCTGAGGAAGGACCTGCTTTCTCAGAGATCTAGACGGGATGCAGAGGACTTAGGTGATCAAGGCTGTGGTAAACGCCATCACTTCGGCCAGAGCCCCCTCTTCTCACCGGGAAGACCCCACGGAGATGCTCGATCAGAGATGTGTTTTCCTTCTTGGAGGAAGGACTGGATCGTAGGCCGTCTCCCTTCACTCTGAAAGTGTATGTTGCCACGATTGCACATCAGGATCCAGTAGATGGTAAATCTCTAGAAAAGCACAACCTGATCAGGTTCCTAAGGGGTGCAAGAAGGCTAAATCCTCCCCATGGGATCTCTCATTGGTGCTTATGGCAGTGAAGAGAGCCCCTTTCAAACTAGTGCAGTCAATTGAGCTAAAAATCCTGTACATTAAAATCCTGACTGCGCTAGCTTCCATCAAGGGGGTAGGGGACCTGCAAACATATTCGGTCAACAAATCGTGCCTGGAATTCGGACCGGCCAACTCTCAAGTTATCCTGAGATAACTCAGGATACATCCTGAGATACGTCCTCTCAAGATATCCTGAGATACGCCCTCTCAAGTTATCCTGAGATAACTCAGGATACGTCCTGGATATGTACCCAAGGTTCCCACCAGGTTTTGCTAGATTTCATAGTCTGCGTGTAGAGCTAGTGTTCCTCCCATGTACTTGCCCCAATTGCCTGGCGAATACCAGGGACACGACTCTGTGTCTCGCTTGCTGCGCTATTCCCCGGATACGTACGCTTATCTTTCTCCTCAGCTGGAGAACCTTGTGATGCAAATTCGCACGCAATGTGCATTGGCTCGTTTAGTTTACACTTGAAGACGATCGGGCTCTCAGGTGAGATACCAATTCGACATAACATCTGCTAAAAGTTGGATTTGCCAAATATTACAAAGTACACTCGCAGATAAGCTAAACGCTAACGAAAGTGATAAAAAAAATAGTCAACTTGTCCAGCGTTGTTAGTTTCTGTTTGCTGATAGCTTGTAGTAGCTTTCTACAGCCATCGGCACTGATCCTCAACAAACTCGTCTCCATACCGGTGTGATGACTCCGACTTCCAACCAGATGGAACCGGATTAATATTCTAAACGTTTTGATCCAATCTGACTTCTGACCTGTAATGCTGCCTGGAACATAATCATACTCTGTTCGCTTGTTAGCCAGAGAAGAACTGAGCGACTGAGCCTGGGTTCTCCCAAGGTTTTTTTTCTCCATTCTGTCCCTGATGAAGTTTTTGTTCCTTGCCACTGTTGCCTTGGCTTTTGGCTTGCTTAGTTGGGGACATTTAATATTCAACAATATTATTGATCTGCCTTACTTTTTAGAAACAAACTTTGTATTATTTTCATGTTATCACTGTAAAAAGAGCTATATAAATAAAGGCGACTTGACTTGATTAGTGTAACTTACTTTACAAAGAGTATTCCAATAAGCCAGAGCAAAACGCATCAGAATCAGTGAAAGATCAGAATCAGTTTGTGATTTTTATTTTTTTCCTATGGTGTTCTCCAGGCTGTTCGTCAAGAAACCTCCAGACCTTTTGGGTCAATACATGTTCTCACTCCTCCACCCATCCAAACTACCCCCAGAGCCCCACCCATGGCCAGCAACTGCCCGGGGGAGAGACGACACCACCTTGGACTAGATGAGCTGAATCTCTAATAATGAAATAATTACTTGAAGACAGGCCATCCCATCTAAATAAGAACTGTATGTTCACACTTATCATGTGCTTTGTTGCATTGTCAGATTTAGATGTTTCTAGTATAAAGGTTTTTGCCTATGCACAGCATTATATCATTAAAGATATTCACAACACAACCACAGTAATATGACATATCATGAGTAAAATCTCTTGGAAAAGTCAAATTTCATCATAAAAGTCTAAACAAGGAAGCAAGAAAGTATATTTCGCTTAAATGAATCCTGTTTGGGACTAGTACTTTATTTTTGCATTGTGACATTCTTTCCATGACATTTACACATACTTTTTCTTTTTTTTTTTACATATTCTCATTACTCTAATGTGAAAATATATTGTCAGTCAATAATGTAATGTGGAAAAAGATCAAGTATTAAAAGTCACATATTAATACATCATGGTAGTATTTAGTATTTATTATATTACTTTTTAATTTAAACTGAATTTTAATTGTGTAAACAATTATCAACTAATTGAATGTATTAGAGTAATGAGAAAAATAATTTACAAGATATTGTTTATTAAATTGTTACAGTGCAACTCATGCTTCTAAACAATGAGCTAATAAGGACATTTGTGTGACATCCATCCTACTTAAAAAAGCGTACAACATGAACATACTGCATTACTTCAGACTGGTAGTTGGCAATATAAATAAAATTATAATTTGGCTGATACAATAAATGCAACCAATCAGAATCCAGACTCTTTAATTGACATGTATGAAAAACTCGACAGACGAAACCGTAAGCAATGAACAGAAACCGAGGAATTTGAAAACTTAGTGAGTGTGACACAATTACACAGTTGAGTTAATTTCTGTTATATTCATAAACTTGATCTGATCTTGGAAGAGTTAATTCAGGTCTACAGTGAATAAAATAAGTATTTGATCCCCTAATGATTTTGTAAGTTTGTAATGGTTTAACATTGGAACTGTAGAAAATGTAATACAGCATGTTATGAAATCAAGGTTACACATTATTTTAATGTGTCCTTATTACAGTGTATTCAGTTATACATTTAAGAATGAGTAATATTAATTAACAACATGTACTTACTATAGGGTTAAGGTAGGAGTAGGGTTTAGTTTAGGGTTAGTTGCATGTAACTAAGCATAATTTACTGTTATTACTGTAATGTGTAACAAGGACACTGTCAAATAAAGTGTGACTGGAAACAAATGTAGTTGTCGTTACATGGAGTTAATTCAGCACACTGAAATAGGTATACTAAAAAGGCACAAAGTACAGTCAGAGACTCAATCCTTAATACAAATGTATAGGGAAAATATGGTTGTATGCAAATGCCCCACCCCTCCCGCTGGACAGCCAATCATCTGCTTTTAACGGTCAAGTTGGGAAACATTTAAATACGTTACTGTTTGAAAAGGCGGCAGATTTGATATGCAGTGTATGTGTGCGTTGTGTAAATATCAGACATCCCAATCAGTCTCCCAGAAGTTCCGGGTGTCTCCCGCAGATTGATAGAGGCTCGTTGATGCCCGCAAATTAGTTAAAATCTCTTGGAATCTAGAGCGAGCAAGCAAGAGCGCGCACATACAGGATATGGACTGCTCCAGTGGCTTACAACTACTAGCCCAAGCCATCTTACAGTCTATGGACCAATCTGTTACCCAACAACTAGCCTAAGCTAGCTCACAGCCTGTGGACCAGTCCGACATCCAGTATCAAGCCTAGGCCAGCTCACAATCTGTGGGCAAGTCTGGCATCTTAAAACCAGCGCAAGTCAGCCCACAGTTTGTTGAACTGTCAGATAGCCTGCTGTTAGCTACTGTCAGAACACAGTTTGTGGACCAGTCTGGCATCCAACAACCAGCCTAAGTCAGATCACACTCTGTGGACCAGTCTGGTATTCAACAATCAACCTAAACAAGCTCTCAATCCGTGGACCGACGTGGCATCCAACAACCAGCCTAAGTCAACACACAATCTGTGGACCAGTCTGGCATTCAACAACCAGCCTAAACCAGCTCACAGTCTGACATCCAACAACTAGCCCAGGTTATCTCATAATCTGTGGACCAATCCGACATCCAACAACCAGTCCAAGCCAGTTCACACTCTGTGGACCAGTCATAACTGGTAGACCAGCCTGGTATCTAAAAACCAGTCCAAGTCAGCTCACAGCCTATGGACCAGTCTAACATCTAATAACCATCTCAAGCCAGCTTACAGTCTGTGGACTAGTCTGGCATCCAACAACCAGCACAAGTCAGCTCATAATCTGTAGTCCAGTCTGGTATCCAATAACAAGCCTAAATCAGCTCACAGTTTGTGGACCAGTCTGGCATTTACCAACCAGCATAAATCAGCTCACAATTTGTGGACCAGCCTGGCATCCAACAGCCAACCAAAGTCAGCTTACAGCTTGCTGACCAGTCTGGCACCTAACAACCAGCCCAAGCCAGCTTGCAAACTGGGGACTAGTCAGGCACTCAATGACTAGCTTAAGCCAGCTCACAGTAGGTGGATCTGTCTGGCACTCAACAATCAGCCAAAGCCAGCTCACAATCTATGGACTAGTTGGACATCCAATAAATAGCCCAAGTCAGCTCACAACCTGTGAACCAATCCGGCATCCAACAACCAGCTCAAGCGAGCTCACAATTTGTGGACCAGCCTGGCTTCTAACAACCAGCCCAAGTCAGCTTACGATCTGTGGTCCAGTCTGGCATTCAACAACCAGCCCAAGTCAGATCACAATCGGTGGACTAGTCTGGCATCCAGCAACCAGCCCAAGTCAGCTCACGGTCTGTAGACCGGTCTGGCATTTAACAACTACCAAATGCCAGGTTACAATCGTCAGTCCAGTCTGGTTTCCAACAACCATCCCAAGCGAGCTCACAATCTGTGGATCAGTCTGGCATCGAACAACCAACTCAAGTCAGCTTACGATGCCGGTAACAAGAAGTAGACGAATGAGAACGTCCTCGTCTCAGTTCTCGCGCATGCGCCCATTAAGAAGTAATAGAATAGTCGAATTAAGTCGTTATTTATGTTTTTTCGCACAAAAAGTAGTCTCGTCGCTTGATAAACTTATAATTGAGCCGCTGTAGGCACATGGAATATTTAAACCTTTTCTTTAATGACTTTATGGGCCGTCAAGAGCCAGTCCCTTAGGCAGTCTATGTAGGACTGATCCAGCTCTCAGATTCAATCAAAAATATCTTTATTTGTGTTCCGAAGATGAACGAAGGTCTTACGGGGTTGGTACAGCATGGGGGTGAGTAATTAATGACTTAATTTTCATTTTTGGGTGAACTAACCCTTTAAGATCTGTGGTCCAGTCTGGCATTCAACAACCAGCCCAAGTCAGTTTGCATTCTGTGGTCTAGTCTGGCATCCAGCAACCAGCCTAAGTCAATTCAGCTCACTGTCTCTAGACCCATCTGGCATTTAACAACCAGCACACGCCAGGTCACAATCGACTGACCAGTCTAGCATCTGACAATCAGCCCAAGCTAGCTCATAATTTGTGCACCACATAGACAACATATTGTGTATGTAATCCAAAAAGATGTAAGTTTCTGTATATATATATAAAAAAATAATAATAATAAATATATAAATAAAGTTGTCTTCCGAAGAGGGGGGGTGGAGGTGGGTGAAAAAAAAAAAAAACGCGCACATACTGTGTTTCAAACTGTTCAGCGCGTGCGCAGTAACAGTATAACCTGTGGGAAAACGGTGTTTTAAACCTTATTTTGGGGCAAAGTCATCAAACTTTTTCAGCGATTTTTATAATATTTTACTGCTGTTTCTATACATGCAGTTTTTATGTCCCGGTGACCAGTGAAAGTGCAGTTCTGACTCTTTGCCCATTCATTTAGATAGGAGCCTGGGCCCGTATTCCTAAAGAATTTTTGCGCAAAAAGTGGCTCCTAGCGGCCAAATTCTAAGAAAATTCTCAGAGTCATGACGTTTTCTTAGAATTTCCCCTAAAAGTGACACGAAAATCCCAGTTAATATAAAAGCTTTTCTTCAAGATTCCTAGCACTTAAAAGGGCTCCTAAGGCGAGATCTGCTACGAGCAGGGAAGAGGACTTTTAGTGGCTTAGGGGTTCCCCTAAGCAGCTGCACAAAATTTGTTTTTTCCCTTTTTCTCCATTTTCTGTGTTTGTAGGATATTTGTTAACAAGCCTTGTTAAATAGACCAGACAGCAATCACAGACATTGATACAAGCTGAGCCGTGTTACCCTCGTTAAGACCACACTGAGTTGTAACGTTGCAATTTCTACTTCATTAAGGACAGCCCCTTGAGATAGGCCATCTTGTTTTCAACGGGGTCCATATGGGAGTGAAAGTACAAAATATGCCAGCTAGGATATTGATATGAGCAAATAAGACACAAATCATAATTTGAACAGGGTGTAATGAGCTTAAGTTTTCACATATTTTAGATTCTAATGTTAGGCTATAACCCCTACAGCTTACTATTCATTTTCCAGATATTTTCTTGAATGTGAAATATTATTTACAATTAATTGTTCTGGAATCACTTCTAAGCTAAAACTCCTGGCAAGGAATTTTTAGGTTAAGTTAGGAGCTCTCTGAGAGGATTCTCAGAATCTTTAGGGATACGGGCCCTGGTCTTGTTAAGTCCGAAATAGCTGCCCGAAGGCGTTGCCAAGATGGCGGCGAGTGGCATGACTTGCCTGAAAGGACTTTGGTACAGTACAATTTTAATATATTATTTTAAGAAATGACCATTCAATAGAATGAATCAAACTCTCTCACAATGGTATGTTTGAAACAAGTTTCTACTTGTTACAACCAAAATGAATGAAAGCACTGTAGACCTGAGAACTTTCATTTAAATAGCTTGTGATCAAATAGATATTTAAAAACATTTGCTAACATTTGTCTAAAACATACTGGAGTTCTTCTAAAATGTGGTAAATATGTTGTTATGAACTGTATGTTGGTCAAATGAATAAATACAGTAACAAGTTTTGAATATGTAACAAAATACAGTATGTTAAATAAAACCCAGGCTCTGCACAATGTGCACATTCATTTGCTAGTCCTTATGACTTATTCAAGCAGGAAGACAGCAACACTTAAAGAATCTAATTAGATGTGAGGACTGATGGGAGGAGAATGATCACACCAAAGGAAACTTGAAGTCACGGAAGGAGAAACCATAGAAGTGCTGCATTATTGAAGAACAATGCAGAGTGGAAGATAAAGGTGCACAGCGAGTGAGAAGACAGACGAGCAGGGCCGAGAGGTGCAGCACATTCAAAATCAGGTAAGTGTCTTTTACAAACTCTCCTAATTAGAATAATGTGCACGAATGACTTTATAAAATTGGGTAACGTGTGCATAAGACTGACATGACACCTTCATATCCATGACATATGTCTTGAATA